CTATACAGCGAATTCCCGAAAACGAGGTGTCCGCGTACAGGTGACGCCGTTGCCGAATTTTAGAGACCAAAACGATCAAGATATGTGAATAAACAAAAAGATATACAATTTATTGTTAAGTAAACAAACGAAAAATTTTCTAAGTCAATATATAGGCGTCAATATATAGGTTATGTCAAATTCCCAATATATTATGAGCCAAAACAGTATATAATTGCTACTAGTATGTTAATAAAACGATTTGGTGAAGGTCCAAAGTCAATTTTAGGCAAAAAGCTATAGGGTTAGGTTAGGTTAGGTTAGGTTAGGTTAGGTTAGGTTAGGTTAGGTTAGGTTAGGTTAGGTTAGGTTAGGTTAGGTTAGGTTAGGTTAGGTTAGGTTAGGTTAGGTTAGGTTAGGTTAGGTTAGGTTAGGTTAGGTTAGGTTAGGTTAGGTTAGGTTAGGTTAGGTTAGGTTAGGTTAGGTTAGGTTAGGTTAGGTTAGGTTAGGTTAGGTTAGGTTAGGTTAGGTTAGGTTAGGTTAGGTTAGGTTAGGTTAGGTTAGGTTAGGTTAGGTTAGGTTAGGTTAGGTTAGGTTAGGTTAGGTTAGGTTAGGTTAGGTTAGGTTAGGTTAGGTTAGGTTAGGTTAGGTTAGGTTAGGTTAGGTTAGGTTAGGTTAGGTTAGGTTAGGTTAGGTTAGGTTAGGTTAGGTTAGGTTAGGTTAGGTTAGGTTAGGTTAGGTTAGGTTAGGTTAGGTTAGGTTAGGTTAGGTTAGGTTAGGTTAGGTTAGGTTAGGTTAGGTTAGGTTAGGTTAGGTTAGGTTAGGTTAGGTTAGGTTAGGTTAGGTTAGGTTAGGTTAGGTTAGGTTAGGTTAGGTTAGGTTAGGTTAGGTTAGGTTAGGTTAGGTTAGGTTAGGTTAGGTTAGGTTAGGTTAGGTTAGGTTAGGTTAGGTTAGGTTAGGTTAGGTTAGGTTAGGTTAGGTTAGGTTAGGTTAGGTTAGGTTAGGTTAGGTTAGGTTAGGTTAGGTTAGGTTAGGTTAGGTTAGGTTAGGTTAGGTTAGGTTAGGTTAGGTTAGGTTAGGTTAGGTTAGGTTAGGTTAGGTTAGGTTAGGTTAGGTTAGGTTAGGTTAGGTTAGGTTAGGTTAGGTTAGGTTAGGTTAGGTTAGGTTAGGTTAGGTTAGGTTAGGTTAGGTTAGGTTAGGTTAGGTTAGGTTAGGTTAGGTTAGGTTAGGTTAGGTTAGGTTAGGTTAGGTTAGGTTAGGTTAGGTTAGGTTAGGTTAGGTTAGGTTAGGTTAGGTTAGGTTAGGTTAGGTTAGGTTAGGTTAGGTTAGGTTAGGTTAGGTTAGGTTAGGTTAGGTTAGGTTAGGTTAGGTTAGGTTAGGTTAGGTTAGGTTAGGTTAGGTTAGGTTAGGTTAGGTTAGGTTAGGTTAGGTTAGGTTAGGTTAGGTTAGGTTAGGTTAGGTTAGGTTAGGTTAGGTTAGGTTAGGTTAGGTTAGGTTAGGTTAGGTTAGGTTAGGTTAGGTTAGGTTAGGTTAGGTTAGGTTTTTTTTTTTTTTTTTTTTTTTTTTTTTTTTTTTTTTTTTTTTTTTTTTAATCGCTTTTCCCCAGTCAAGGATACACCGGGACCTTATTGAGCTAATTGTATGCTATTCTGTATACATTAATATACATCTACCCACCCCATCTGTTGTAGAGTGGGACCTCTTCTGCTCTGCGCATTTCAAGTTCTAGGTGCTGTTTATTACTATTTATTTCTTTATCTGTTAATTACTATTTCTATCTTTATTCTGTTATCTTTCTTATCTCTTCATATTTATTCTATATTTGCAACTATACTCGTTTACTACTATAGTGTATTTACTACTGGTCCAGTGGTCCAGTGCCGTTGTGTTTAGTTAGCATCTTACTTATAACTATTACATTTTGTTTATTTATAACTATTACATTTTATATCTTATTTTGCTAATTTTTTGACATTTCGTATTTCTTAACTGTACTGTACTGTAGTTTTACATCTGTATATATCTTTCCTTGTGTTTTAGTTCTGACATTTTTCTATTTGTCTTAACTTAGTTCTGTCTCAACATTTATTTATTGTGTATAATGTGTTTAGTATTGTATCTATTATCTTGTTTCATCTATGTATATCTTTCCTTGTGTTCTAGTTTTAAATTTCTTCTATTTGTCTTAACCTAGTTTTGTCTCGATATTTATTTATACACAGTATTGTATCTGTCTTACATTTCTATGTAGTTTACACAGTTATGCCTTCAATAATAGGGTTGGTGTTCTGTGTTGTGTTGCATTTCCTCTATTTGATACGCTCTTCTTTAGGCAATAACATATATAAATAATTTATATATTTATTATCCGTTTCTTGAACTGCTTTAATTTCTTATTTCCTTTTCTTTCTTTGTACGGAGTTACTAATTTGTTTCGTGTAGTGTTCTTTTGCTGATGTACTAGTGTATACCCAATATACATTGTGTATATCAGTGTGTGTGCGTGTTATTTTTCGTTTCA